ATGGGGATGAGTTAAAGATGATTCCAGAAATTTCCAAACTGAGTGACCAGGGGAATGGTGGTACTATTATATAAGAAAAGGGAAACAAGCAAACTACAAATTTTGGTAGAGAAAAAAATAAGTTCAGTTTTAGGCACATTAAAATTAAGGTGTTGATTGAAAATTCATATGGAAAAGTTCAACATAATGCAAGCTAGAACTGGAGTTTAGAGGTAAGCCAGGAAGAAAGCTGGAGATGAACCAATCAATGGATATTTACTCTGACTGCCTATTGTGTGCCAGGACCAAAATTTAAGCCCTCAGCATAGCAGTGGTATTGATGAGAGTGCATCCCCTGGATGGGGGACCTTGGAAAACTTACCCATTTAAAAGAAAAGAGGGAAAAGAATCACTGGAGGAGATTAAGGTAGAATGATGGGATCAAGGGAATATTTTTAAAGAAGGAAGCTAAAAGGGAGGAAGGTATACAAGCTATTCAAACCCTCAAGAACCTTTCCTAATTCTGTAGTTCCACCTTCAGAGTAGAGAAGAAAAATTTCAAAAAGTGTCAAGTAGGAATCAAGCTCTTCAAAAAGAAAAATGGGAACTCAGACAAATCTCATAAATGTCACAAGGAACCAGTGAGGTCTAAAAAAAAATGGAAAAAGTGGATCATTTAGATTCTATATGCCTCCAGCCACTCACACAGAAACAGACTATTTTTTCCCCCAAAAAAATGGGGCTTGGAAAAAACATCAATGCGAACTTAGCAATATAGTGAGGGCTAATGAAGGATATTTAAATATAAGACATAATTCCTACCTCAAAGAAATTACAAAGTCATTTTGAATTAACAGCAAATCATACACAGGTATTTACACTAAATCCTTTATTTAGAGTTCCAAATGATTTTTTTCTTTCTTTCTTTTTGTTTTTTTTTTTTTTTTTTTTTTTGCGGTACGCGGGCCTCTCACTGTTGTGGCCTCTCCCGCTGCAGAGCACAGGCTCCGGACGCGCAGGCTCAGTGGCCATGGCTCAAGGGCCCAGCCGCTCCGTGGCATGTGGGATCCTCCCAGACCGGGGCACGAACCTGCGTCCCCTGCATCGGCAGGCGGACTCTCAACCACTGCGCCGCCAGAGAAGCCCCCACATGATTTTTTATTTAAAATTTTTTTTTGGCCGTGCCACGTGGCTTGCAGGATCTCAGTTCCTCGACCAGGGATCGAACCTGTGCCCCCTGCAGTGGAAGCACAGAGTCCTAACCACTGGACCGCCAGGGAATTCCCTAGAGTTCCAAATGAGAGAGTACATATGAACATACCTATGTAAGTCATCACTAATGCAAATCAGGAGAGCAAATGCCACTCTAGTTTGAGGGTCCTCTCTCATGGACTTGAGATCCTACTGACACTGAGCTGAGTTCATTGAAAAACACAGACTGGATTATATTATACCCATTACCATGAAGCAACTTAAATGGTTTAAACTACATTTAAGTGCCTTTCAGGAATGGTATACCAATTCACACTCTTTTAAGTGGCTGAAAAAGTGCTTGTCCTTTAATATTCTTGCCACCATTTAGTGTTATTGTTCTCAAATCTTGTTAACTTGATAGAAGAAAAAAGGTGTGTTGTTACTTTTGTTGAAGACTGGTTCATTTGATCATTTGAACTTCTTTCTGGAAATGTCTGTTACTGACTTGTAGAGCTCGTTGTACATAAAAGAGAGACATCCTGTTGTTATTGCCAACTCCCAAAGGAAGATCCCCCACACCAACCTCCTGCTTCCACACTACAGAGCATAAAATTACAATGAAATGTCTGAGTGCAAATTCAGCTTGTCTTCCTGTTACTTGGCAAATCTTTTCTTTTTGTTGATCTAGCCACCATGCCCAGTGGTAGCCTATTGTAAGCCTCCTCTGCTTTCCTGAAAGTCCAATCCTAGC